ATGAAGGCTTTATTTTTCCTTTAAAACTGTTTGTTATCTTTTATCTTTGGGGTTGCACATTGTTTTGGATTTGGGGCTGTGCTTGTCTCATGGACTGAGACACTTGAAGCAGGCCTTTGTGTAATTCCAGACTATGCCAAGAACACTGCTCCTACAGCTCTACTTCAAGAAAGTAACCTCTTAGAGCCTTTAGAAATTTAAATACCCTGTTACATCTCATGATATTTCAAGCTGAGCAAATAAATGTCACTCCTTTTTAAACTTAATCTGAATACAGCCATGTGACAGATACTCCATAGTGATGTAGTTCACCATCACTTCCACCAGATTTATGTCCTGGTGTTAAGGGTCAAAATAACTATCTCAGTTCTGCCAAGTTCTTGATGATACTGGTATTTAATTTGTGTAATTTTTTGGAGTTGTTTGGTTGGTTTTAACACTTTATGCCTATGTTCATATAAAACCATTTGATCTTGGTCATGCTGCCCCATTCTATAAATCCTGCTCCTCAAAGCTTTTGCTGGCTTTGTTCATCTGTTGTTTCCTGCTGGGTGATTACTGGCTCTTCTCCTGTTTTCCAGAATATGGATTTTATGCATTGTTGATGTTTTAAAAGAGCAATCCATTGCCTTTTAAAGGGAAAGAATAGTTGAATTCTCAAAACATTCTGTTATCCATGTTTGACTCTGCTTGAACTGTGGGAAGCTTTGAATTTCAAATTCACAGGACAGAAGCTGATGTTGAAAAAGTTATGAACAATCTACCCTACCAAGCATCTCAGTGGCCATAAAGCAGCAGGTCAGTCTGACTGTTTGACTTAAATGCTTGTTCCCTGTAGAGAGTTTACACAGCCTTGTTCAGCTGTGTCAGTGCTGAAGAGGCATTGCCTACACATGGAAGACAGTAAAGCATAGAATGGATAATGGCATAAACTGTGTGGCTGTGTAGCAAAAATCACCTGTTATCACACTGTTAATGTTCTCAAGGGTCTTACATTTTAGCAAATACAGCAAATATTAGGCATTTTTGCAAAATAAAAGCAAATACAGTAAAGGAAAACGTTGACCTTGCTACACTGAAGCAAAATGCAGGAATGTTACATGCACTCTCAGGTTTGTTGTTGTATAGGTATCAGTCTTCCAAAATATTTCAGTATCAGTTACACTCAACCTTGCAGCTCCTCACAAATATTTGTGCCAGGTTTATCTTCAGAGGAGTTGGTGATGCAAACCATCCCATTCTCAGGGAAGAGTGGGAGCAAAAATTAGTGATGCACACTAGTAGTGGCCCTTGGCTTTATTAGCGATAGAAGACCACTCTGCCACAGTGCTGCTGCTCTCCAGAAGCACTGGTGTGGTCTGACAAGAGCCTGGCTGAAGATTTTTATCATTCAACTTCTGGAAAACATGACTGTTGAAATAAAACAGCTGGTTTAAAATACATTTTATAGTTTCACTGACATTCATGATGTATTTCAGTACAACGAGGAAAGAATTTAGATTTCTTTGGTGTGGGCTGAAAACCTTGGAGAGAAAAAATACTGGAATATTGCATCAAATACATTGGTGTTGAAAATTAGGAAGTCACTCTGAACTGGCAGTTTTTAATATTAAATTACCTCCTATAGTTTTTGTTATGCCTGGTCTTCTGGTAACAGCTAATACAAAAAATGTAAGTCTAAAAACTGTACACAGTTCCCTTGAAAAGAAAGGGCAATGGATGGAAAGGCTGATGGTGTTTCCTTTCCCCAGCACATAAGAACCTGCAGGAGTAACACACTGAACTAAGTGTGCTCCATAAGTACACCTAAAGTAACTCTTGTTTAATGTAATAAATAAATATCTTGCTGGAGCCATTGTTCAGGCTGACTGCTCTATTACTTTTATTTATTTATTTTTTTTAATTTTAACTTCCATTATCTTTACTACTACCACACAGCAGTGCATAAGCAATTATCTAGTTCCTGTGGGAGGCAATAACTTTTAAAATCAAAATCATATGGCATTCAGCTAAATAGACTTCAATATGATGATATTCCAGTGTTTCACAAACATGCTACTCAGGGATTAAAAAATATTAAAAAAAAATCTACTTGCAAATTAAAACCATATTGGTCCTGGCACTGCATTCTCTGTAACAAAACACTTTTAGCCAATCAGATGTAGACTCATAATTAAATACTGCCTGCAGGACTGACCCATCTTAGAGCTGTCTAAAAAACTGGTATGAGATTGCTGCTACCAAAGGAAGCTGTGTGAACACAGGTTTGGAGAAGGACAATCCAGACTTGGGGAAAAGAGCAGTAGAGAGGTTGGATTTACTGCTGCACTTTGAAATGCAGGTATAGTTAATGAAATTATGGCTCTCATTTTGTTCCCTTATTAATTATCACATCCTTTCAGCTGTAACAGACCAGGCACTAACTGCAGCTCTAGGCTCCAGGTGCTCTAGAGGGAAGTAGGGCTTTCTGGGACATTCAAGGTTCTACCAGTCAGTGATCCCTACAGATGCAGATTTGAGCTCTTAGCATTTCAGTAAAGAAAATCAAGAACAGTGGCAAATCGAGGGACTTTTCACATGCCCAGGGAGTAGTAATGGATAATGACTTTTAAACTCCAAAAGTTAGATTTAGATTAGATATTAGGAAGAAATTCTTTACAGTGAGGGTGGTGAGGTACTGGAACAGGTTGCCCAGAGAAGCTGTGGATGCTTTATCTTGAAGCTCCATCTGTGGAAGTGTCCAAGGAGAGGTTGGATGCAGCTTGGAGCAACCTGATCTAGTGGAAGGTGTCCCTGCCCATGGTAGGGGGCTTGGCAAGCCAAATCCATGTTTAGAGAATGCATTCATTTCCATTTCCTGTGCATGGTATTTGTTTGTACACCCAAAACAGCAGCAGGACCAAAGCACAGTCAATCAAGCAAGAGGCCAAGGTGTCCTTTGGCAGGTTTGACCTTTCATGAAGTTTAGCACATCCTGTCCACTTGTCACCTGCCTTATGGCAGCATCTCAGCCTTCCAGAGGAATATTCAAGCTCTTTTGCACCTACCTGCACCACTTTAATAGGAACCATTATTGAAAAAGGTGTGGAGAGACAAGTCCATGCATGGTGACGCAGTGACTATAAAGCAGAGGGGTGCCCTGGCAACAGCAGATAGGGAATTAAGAAAAAGTAGCTTAAGAAAAGCAAGAAGAGCAATGCAGTTACTACATTCCACTTTCCTATTCAGTTAGGCAGCGAACAACCTCAACCATATTTCACACACAAAGCTGGAATCACCAATTCTAGAGATGAGCTGTGCTCTACATGTTGGTGCCAAGCAGCCAGGAGGTCTTCTTGAAGTGAGCACTGAAGAGGCCCAGCAGCAGGGAGAGTTCAGAGCACTACTCTATCTGTACCAGGAGGAGCCACCACCATGGGCTCAGGGAAGTATTTCTGTTTTTCCAGAAAACTGGGCCATTGACATCTTCATTTCCTGCTTTTCAAGAGGTGTGTGTGTCAGAATGATTGTCAAAAGAATGCAGGGCCTGACCAGAAACCACCTCTGCATTCAGTGTTTAATGCTTATCATGTGCTGTCACTTGCACTTCCCCAGCAGGGTGGGGGAGAGAACAGGAAGAAAATCTCCTGGGTACAGCTGGAAGAGTTTCAGAAGTGGATGAGGGGGGAATGAAACCATTGCCCTCTCCCTGACACAAGTCAATGCCCTGTCACCATCCAAGCAATGCCACCACAAAGGGCCCTCTTTGCCTTCCTCCACCCATTTTATTGCTGAGCATGGCCTAAACTAAGGAATATTCCTTCAGCCAGTTTGGATCAGCTGTCCCAGCTGTGTTTCCTCCCCAGCTCATGCCCCTTCCCCCCAGTCTACATAGAGTGCAAACACTGCCCTGCAAGAGCCGAAGCACTTACCAGCTTTATCAGCATCATTCCAGCCACCCCAGCACCACATTGCTGCTCGGATGGACATGCACTCCATCCCACCCAGAGCCAGCACAGGCACCTTCAGATACAGCTTGAGCCCAGTAGTCTACTAACTTGTTACAGTTCCAGTGGAGAAGAGACCAAGGTATCACATTTTCAGTATCAGTCACCACTGTCATCTCTCTTTTTTTTTCCAGCTTGAGCAGAAAGATTAGGAGAGCCAGCAATTAATTTAATTAAGGTCTTAAGTAGCTAAGAGCTATAAACTCCACTTAGACACTTAGATTTGTCTGACAGCTCCCAACAGAATCCATCACCTGTTGGTGATCCATGATAAATATGAAAGAATTTTGCTTCTGTACAGGCAAAGTTCTTGAGCTTTTCAGTCAGTCCAAGTTTTAGAAGCAAAACGTGTGTTTGTCTTTTATTTGTTCAGACACTAATGTATTTCAGACAGCTGCCCAATTGCCTCACTCAAGTGAAGAATGCAACAGGAAGACTAACCAAACACAATTCACTGAGAGGGCACTGGCACCTTGACAGTTAAGAAAATGATAAAGGACAGTGCTTTTACCACCACCCAAAACTCCCCCACACCACACTAACATAAAATCCACCAAAACAAATAAAATCTAACCACTAATCACCCAAACACAAAGAAGTTACTCGAGTCTGCTCAAAATTTATACTTGAACTTTACAGATCTGCTGGGTCTCCCCGTGGATTCCCTAAACCTCCTCCTATATCCATTCCCTTTGTGAAGAAGTCAGGGGTTTTTTTTGCATGAAGACAACTTTAATCTTCCCAGACCTTTAACTGTGGGCTAAGTATAAATTAAAAAATACATAACTTTAACACCAGGCAGCAATTCAATTCTATTCTATTATTGAATGCAAAAAGGCATTCAACTTATGCCAGTGGATATTAGACACACCAAACTTTTTTCTTAATGTATTTTATTTATGCAAAACCAATCCAAAAATGGTATGCAAAAGTGAAAAGCTCTTTTTACATATTAATAAAAAGGGTTTTTTTAAATATACAGTTTCTATGTGTGAAGAGTGAGGATTAGACCATTTTATTTACAGCAACACACTGAGTTTATTAAAAAATATAGACAGGCATTAAGTCATTCTTATTTTCTCTCAAGCTAATTGCTGTACAGTAAACAACAGCTCAAAATGCCCAAAGAACCAGGGGTATCCCATGACAACTTGCTTAATCCAATTAGGAATATTCTTGTTTTGATGTAATGCTTCTGGTTTTGGAGGGTTTTTTTTCAGGGCTTTATTTTATGTATACAGTAGTCAAATTATATTACTATGTCATGCCCACTGGTTCCTTTAAGAAAAGTTACATTCCTTGAGCTTCCAGTTCAGCTGCTGTTATATCTGGTTCTTCATCATTGTAAATGTTTTCTGCCTGAAGACAGAAAACATTACATTACAAGTGATACACACAATTGTTTTTAAACAATCTTCTACACTCCATATAGAAAAACACCTTGGTAACAACCAAGGTGGCACAGCCATCATCCCCTCCTTAAAGGGATTTTCTCCCTGCCCTTTCTTAAAGAGCTGCCGAATTTAGGAATGTATACACAGTGGCTACATTTTGGCAGCTGCCTTCTTGCATTGCTCCATTTCAACAACAGAAGCAGCAGCCATTTAACCACTAGACCTATTATGAGTATTTTATTTGCAATTATTTCAACCCCAGTCTAAATACACAAACCAAGAACAGGTAATAAAAAAAGAAGCCTGACCTGTAACATATATTTAAGTCCGTTAAGAGTTTTTAAACTGAATTTATCCCCATATTACTTTATTCCACATTTCTAAGATAGCTGATCCATTTCCTGTAGTGTAAAGTAATAGAAGCTAATCCATTTCCTGTAGTGTAAAGTAATAGAAGCTAACTAGGGATTTAAAAGGCATCCTGCTTTATAGCCAACATATAGGGGAGAGCAGGGGGCAAGAGTAAGTCTTGGCTAATACTGGATATAATTTTGCAACTGCTTTATTAAGAATAAATCTTAATATTAATTAGTACCTAGGACTTGGAATCAATAATTCACTAACAGTTGCTTTTATTCAACTTGTTTTAGTCTTGGTTTTTAATGTCTTACACTTTTTGACTAGATCAAGAAATGTACAGCACAGACTTTCAGTCCTTGAAGGCACAAGCTCCCTAAGAACAAGGCTTTTCAGTTTCATTTATACAACAAGCTTCAGAGTAACTCTAGGCTTTTCAGTTTCATTTATACAACAAGCTTCAGAGTAACTCTAGAGCTGTTGTGACACTCACCATCTGCCATATCTGCATTATGTTGTCCTCTGATACAGAACAGAATACCCAAGGCTCATTAGGATTCCAACTGAAGTCTGAAGTTTTGGCAGTGTGTCCTCCATGAATAAACTGTTAAAAAAAACCCCACAAGCTTCAGTAAGCCATTTCAACTCTAGAGAAATCTGTTAAAACCCAGGATTCTTAAGTTAAATTCATCATGCTAACAACCATCCAAAAGCAAAACTTGCTACTAGAGATTCACAGGAGACATAAGGAAGGTGTGTGTTCAACTGCTTCCCATTCGCTGCTTATGGACACAGATGCAGTTGCTGAGACAGCATTTGAGATAATAGTTCCTATTATTACAGCAACAACTGACATCCTCAAAATGGTCTCCACACAGGGCTAGGCTGTGAAATCCAGCCATATTTCATTCTGATTATCTCTAAGAGCACTTGCAGAGTCACACAAGAAATAGGGAAACCTTCAGAACTGAAGAGAGGAAGCCTACAGAAAATTAAAGCAGTGGACTGGAAACCAGGGAGGTAAAAAGATTTATGAACAGCTTTGGTTTTAGCAGCACAGTGACATCTCACTGCCACACAGCATGTCAGCACACTGAAACCTGAACAAAAGGGCACCAGCAGCTCAGGAAGCCCATCTTCTGCATCCTCTGCAGACTGCTCTTCTCCAATTTTACTGTAAGAAAGTAATTTACACACTTTTTATTAAAATGACAGTTGCATTCTCTGTCAGCTTAACTGAACAGTTCCTGGCCTTTGTTTCCCATATTTGCAATTGGTGTTTCTCACTGTGAAATATCTAAGCACCAGGTGTAAAACATCAGCTATCTGGCACTGTCATTACTGAAATGGAATCTTAAATTATGAATCACATGGAGGCAAAAAAAATCACTTACTGATGTGATGCCTAAAGATTTTTTAGCCTTTTTCGCATTTGTAGCTTTGTAGATTTTTAATATATAGTTCTATGATTTCTAGTACTTTTCCTGCCCTCACATTTTAGAATAATCTAACACATTCCTGAAATTCTGTTTAGTCTCAAGAACAGAATTTCTGACAAGGACATCTTGTTTTCCAACAGAAGTTGAGAGACATAACAAGAAATAGGGCAAAGAAACCCCTGGACCAACTCCAAAGGAGGAGACCCAAGGGTGTTTTACTGGGCCAACTGATCTCCTATTGGATGTCCCTGCTAGATAAACTAATTAATTAACCTTTTAAAAATTGCAGAAATCCTTTGTCACACATACACATACAGCCTGAAAGCTTTCACTAAAGAACTACTTTTTATCCAATCACTTTAACACTGTTGCAAGTTTTGTCTTTTGAATCTAGACAACAGAAAACAATGCTATTAGCAAGAAATTCTGATGGAGAAGTAACTTCACATATACTGTGCTGTTTCTATTTATACCTAACAGACCAGGCCTGAGGCAAGCAAGGAAAGCCAGAGAACAGCACAAATCAAACCTGCCAAATTATGCAGGCCTGCAGCCCATTTTTTAACCATCTGCTCATATATACTAGGAGAAAGGAATTGCTCCTCACCTTAGATCCCATACATTAAGGTGACAATCAGTACCACTTGAAGCAAGAATGGTTTCATTATGAGAAGACCAGTGAACCTATGGAAAGGAAACCATTTCACTGGAGCAGTTACCGATTTCTAAAGCATATCCTGAATTACCAGCACTCTGGACACTAATTTTTAACTATACTATGTAAATCAGTTTCTTCCAGCACAGAAGATATCCAGTAGCTCAAAAAAAACCTGCTTTACTCTTTTCTCATACTGAACAGACAACATTATTTCACTGCTATGGAATTTGTCTAAAAATCACTGGTACTTGCACCTAATTAAATTGGCAGAGTTCACAAAATTAGGGTTGAATCCAAATCCTCCCTACAGCATGTTATTTTAGAGAAACCTTCTACTTGTACTTAAGGTACTTGTGAACACACAGTATCTTTTTAGCAGTGAGTTGTTGACTACTTGCTTCAAAGTCAAGTGGGGAAAGGCAGAAATAAACTACATGATACTGTCTGTAATTGTCAAACTCAACATAGTGAAATTTCGTTCAACAGAGTTATTTGTGTTGCAAGAACACAAATTTAAATGTTCTTGTCGAAGTCAGTACTCTTTTCTACAGGCTGCTAGTTTACCCACCTGAAAAATCTCATGAGACTCAAAAGAATGGAGTTTCAGCTTTAAGTTTCAAAGGTCCCACAGAGCCACCATCTGGGAGACACAAGCAACAAGAATTTGGTTTTACTGTAACAGCTTTCATCCACACCACTTAGGAATGTAAAGTATACTCAAGTGAAAACCTTGTCAGCAGAGCAAGTTGCCAGAATGAAGTTGCTGTAAGAATTGAAGGACAGACAGTTGACCTCGGCTGTGTGAGCATCTACTGAGTGACTCGGCTTGGATGTGGTATTAGATCTCATGTCCCAGCTGTGGCAGCAAAGGGTTTGGGAAAGGGAGGAAAGAGGGAAAGCAAACAAACTTAAGATTTTATAGTAAGTTCTTTTTCACTACAGCTTTTACTACTGAACTCAACTCTGAAGCTACAGTTTTCATTCCAAAACCATCAGTTATTCATGTTTGTTGTACATGAACAGATTGCACCAGGAAGCCGACACAAATATTAGTTACATCTTCTTTCCAAGTGCTGTGAACACATTAAATGACATGTACATTTCAGTGAATCTGCACCATCACTGTAGCTGATTGACATAAAGAGCTACATAAAATCACCCCAAATTTCAGATCTTTTTTTATTCAAGTGCTGTGAACTAGATCCACTGGCAGCAATGATATTTTGGTTTTTACCTTTTTTCTTTTATATATTCTCTGTATTCTTTACACCTAAATCTGTAGCATAATCTATCTGTGGCTAGTTTTCCTAGTAGTTTTCCATGCCCTTTCCCTAGACAGAAAGACAAAACATATTCCAAGGGCCCCTATCCTATCTTGGTTCTCCCTGGCTACCAAGGTTGAAAACAGCTCATCAAGACACATTTTCATAAACAAAGTACAGCCAGTACCAAGGGGTGGGTGGGTGGTGCAGAGAAAGGGCTTGACTTGGGGGGTAATTGCATCAGCACTTGTCATCCTAATTGGTGCTTTTTTGTCAATTATGCTAATTTACTAAACTTATAAAACTGTATGCACCCTTGTAGGGGATGGGCTTTTGTGGACATTCTTCCATAAGAAGAATGCCCTGGAGGCCTACAATAAGATCCACTTTTATATCACATCTCATACTAATATTACCTTGAAAGTGTGTGTTGTTTCATTCCTAGGTTGAAAAAAGGCATCAGCAGGACACAGCAGGCCCTACCCAAAAATCTCCTAACTTACATCATAAGCTTCTGATCATCTGCCACAGATCCAAATAGAGACTCATGGTGCAGGTGCCATGCCACATCTTCCATTACTGCAGAGTGCCCGGTAAAAACAGCTTTTGCATCAGCAATCTTGCCCTCTTTGGGTCCAGCACTTACATCCCATAAACACATTCTGTAAATAAGCCACATTCTATTGAAATGCAGACTCAGATTGTATCATCTTTCAAATAAATAATCAATCACACTCCACATATAAAGACATGACACTCCTGAAGCAGTTCTTTGCTTTTGAAAAAGAACACTTATTATGCCATAAATGAGAGCTAAGTTATCAGTTTTCTGCTTCAAGGCCCAAGGATTGTTTAGAAGGTCACAAAAGCAATTTACACTTTTAAAGTCCACAAAGAAATTTATAAGCTATTAGTTATTGATCTTTGAGAGTCTTACTAATTTATGGTCTTGACCCAATCCAGTTGAAAGGGTTTCCTCCAGCAGACAACTATAAAAACATTCTGTTTTTACATCAAGAACCTTAAAAAGAACTCATGGTTGATTACAGCCTAAAGCTGAAAACTGACAGCCTTTAGAAATGTAATTACAATATGTGAGAGCTTCCCCACATAACAATACACAGCTGCACTAAGACAGATTTTCTCTAAATTTCTACTACAACATAAATTAGGCTTTTTTAAACAGGGGAAAATATGTGGTTTTTACATGATCATCTGATGCACTGAGAAGATGTCCACTCAAATTTGAATTCCATGATAAGCCATAGCCTTCCTTCTGGTGTCCTTTTAATTTAAGGTCAGGATTACACGCTCCACTTGGGTCTGAAAGACAGGAAATTCCTTTCATTTAGCATCTGCTTGCACATCAATCCATAGGAGCATCACTATCACCCAAGAACTTTGTTCCTGTTGCAATAATTGTATTTTATACATGAACCTCTTCAGAGAGTGCTGCTTCTACCAAGATTCTTTTACAAAAGTGAACCTAACCAGGCAGTTAGTCATTGAAGATATGGGCCTTCTACTTTGGGTGCCAGAGCCCAGCAAACCTTTCCCAGTCACAGTTAAACACAAGTTTACCCCTCTTTAAGAAGAGGCATTTTGCTTAGCTCCAGAGTCAGACTCACCTGGTTTTGAAGGATGTTCAGTGTAGTCAAACACCAGCACATCAGCAGATGGTGTTTTTGTCACAATGATGCAGGGATTCTGCAGCATGTAATGGGCATGGTTCACTTCACCCTCATGGTTAATTTTAATCTCCACCTCAATTTTGCCAGTCACAGATCCAAAGCCCCCAAATTCTACAATTGTCAGAAAAATGTCAGTTTATCCCATTCATTATTTTAGACTACTGAAACAGCATCTCACAGCATCTTCCCTACCCCAAGCAACAGTGGTAGCACCTTATTAATCACAAGCAAAGACTAGGAAAGACTCACACCATGTAACACAATAGCATTAAAACTTTTGATATTTGGAATCTTCTTCCAGAGCTTTAGTCTTTATTTGAGGTAGATGTTTACCAGTCTTCACCAAAACTGAGACTTGGTAGAAATTCTAGTAGGGACTGCATATCAGTGTTACCTAAGCTCTTCTGAAACAAAAAGTTTCCTCTTTTAAGGCACCTAGAATTAGTGTGGACTGGTAAGTATATGTCCACTTTTGTATTTAACAGAAAGTTAGAATATTATCAGAACAACTGAAAGCAGTAATGTTACTGCTCAAACAGAACCTAAGAATTCTGCATGCCCACCTCCTTTCTCACTGTCAGACTGCAAAGCATCAAACTGTTCACTGTTGGGAATCTGGACTCTGGCAACAACCAGGTGGTTCTGTTCATCAGACGTGTGTGCTCCCAAAATCAGCCAGTGCAGAGCATAATCCTTTCCTTCTGGCCTGTTTAGAACAATAAATGTTGGAATAAAATTATGTGCTCAGTTCTAGAAGTTCCATAGCTTGCATCAATAACCCTGAAGATCCAAACCAAAGAGATGCTCCCAAAGAGATCCTCCCCTTTGTTGCAAAGACTTGTGCAATAAAGCAAACTGGACTCTTCCATGAGCAAACCAAAGACACAACCAGCAAGGCTCAATTGACAATACAAGGCAGTCAACATTGCCACTGTGGCTTGAAAGGGACAGTTACAGTTTGCACAGCAGATAAAGGTGACACCAGTGCCTACTCTGGTCTAATCTCCCTAGAGTCTCACAGTATTGATTTAGGAAATAATCAGTACTCCTTTCCATAAAACATAAATCCTGAAGGGACAAGTGGCAACCTATTTTAGTTACTTCTCTTAGGAGCTTTTATCAGTTATCTTAACTAGAATCAAATTTCTCTTCTGGTGGTTGAATGCAACATTTAGCTAAAAGTGAACAGCTGGATGGATGGTGCCATTTATCTCTGAAAGGACAAATTTGAACAGTAAAAACCAAACAACCTCTGCATTCTTGAATGCAACAAATTATGTTGCCTGAATCCAAGCAATCCAGAATCATTTGGGTAATCATAAAGTACCACAGGTATTACTACACCACTTACAAATGTAGAGGGGGAAAAAATGCAAAACCGAACAAGAAACACAATGCACATGCACTTACTTGCATCAGGAACAGGTGTCCCATCATGTCAGATGCCATACAAACAGGCAGTCCTTGCCTTAAATGGCTTACATACTTTGACACTGGATAATTAGAAATACCAGGTTTTAAACTGAATATTAAATCAATCTGCAAAATATGAGGCAAGCAGAAGTGTTCTTCATAAGGGCTCCACGCCCTCAAATCCCCGCTGCATTTTCTCCATGCCATGACTAGTTAGCTCACATCTCTCAACATCATCCCCAAATATTCTGGTACACCAAATGAAGCGATCACCTAACCCACATGTAAAACATCCTGTATATAAAGCAAAACTTAACAGAAGAAAGAGACCATCCTCTGATAACTGCATGAAGCTTACACAAATGGTATTTTAAAATTTACCTAAATCCACATTACATAGTCCCTGTCCACTACCTCAGTGGAGCCCTGAGTTCTGTAGTAACAATTTAAGTTCTGCAGTAGCTGGCATATGAACAGATTCTATCCCCATCTTCATGATTCCTTTAAGAAATTAAACTGAGCCCACGATTTTTTTTCAGGGGGATGTGGAAGAATGTGGTTTAAACATGCGAATTCAACAACGAACCAGAGACAAAACCAGGATGCAAAGAAACAGTTTTAAAATATTCTTTTAAATAAGCCCAGACTTAGAAGATATCAAGGTTATAGTATAACATAAATACTATAGCTTGGATGGACGAGTATATATAGTGCACATGAGGAAAAACAGTCTCTAAGAAGGAGCTAATTTAGTAGGGAGATTTCTTGATCAGAATTAACTATACATGAGCACTAGATCTCTTACTTAGAAATAAACTGAGAAAGATTTCTGTGTTCACACCTCACACCACCTTCTGCTAGGCTAAACTAGACCTCAGTGAACTATCAATTTGTGACCTTTTCCCTCGATGCTTCAGCACACCCGAAGGGTTTTTAAAGCTGTAAGCAAAATAAAAAGCTACAAGCTACCTACCAAAGAGAAGTCTAACCCGAGCTGTTCTCGTCTTGCATGGTTTTTATCCTCAAGTTACTCAGCGCACACGGTTAACAGAAAAGCAGCCGTGCGCCTCCCCGTCCCTCACCTGGTCACATCAGGCAGCCACTGAACCGTGAGGCTGGGCCACTCCAGGGCGTGTCATCACCAGGTCGTACAACGAGGGGGTGTTTTTCCTCCAGATCTTGTACTCCTCACTGATGACACACTCCTCCACCGCGTCCTCCAGCACTGCAGGAAGGGAAAGGATGAACCGAGAGTGGAGGGGTGAAGGGGACACAGCCCCGGCCGGAGCTCTACCGGGGGTAGAGCGGGGGTCCCGCAGGGCCCTCGGGGACGGCAGGCGGGACGAAAACTGCAGCCGCCCATTCCTGATCCCACCTCCCGCGGAAGCTCCGCGGGGCGGAATCCCGGAGCGCCCCAGCGCCCTCCGCCATCCCCGGGCACACGCACCCTCACAGCCCAGCGCCCGGCCGGGACACGGGGACAGGGGGCTCCTACCGTC